AGGCTTTGGGGCAGAAGTGACGCCTGGTGTGGGGACCTGGTGTCCCAGCTCTCACCTCCAAACCCAGCATCCCAGTTCCTGTTGGGATCCACACCAACGCAGTGGGAGCCGGCATTGATGGACCTCGTCTTGCGCCACATGCGGTTCTAGGAGCAGATGGGGTGAGACCATCACAGGGGTGTGAATCCCACCCCCTTGGGGGGACAGATGCCACCCTCCTGCCTGAGCAGCAAGAGGAAAGGGCCTCAAGCTGCCCCAGGGCAGGTTTAGCTGGAGCTGAGGAACAATTCCTTGCCCAGAGGGTGCTCAGGCATTGGAACAGGCTGCCCAGGGCAGGGCTGGAGGCACCGTCCCTGCAAGTGTTCCCAGCCCGTGGAGCCGAGGCCTCAGTGCCAGGGGTTAGTGGTGGCCTTGGCACTGCTGGGAATGGTTGGACCGGATGAGCTTAAAGGTCTTTTCCAACCTGGTTGATTCCACGATCTCCAGGGAGGGGAGGAAACCACCATCCACCATCCTACATGGAAGGAACATCCCTTCCCTCCCAAAAAAACGTGTCCAGCTGTGGTTGCTGGAGACAAGCCCCTGCACTCACAGAGCTGTGGGTGTAGGCAAAGCCATCCGGGTTGGCGATGATCTCCAAGAAGATGTCCATGCTGTCCAGGATGGCAGTGACAGAGGGGTCCTGGCCATACTCCTCAGCGATCTGCATGGGAGGGGGAGCAGGAGCTGCCTCAGTGCCCCTTGGGCACAAGGGATGTGACCTCAGGGAGGTGTGAGGATTAGTGTCCCAGGGCACGTGGGTACCTTGTTGGCCGTCCAGGCACCAGTGGCTTGGGTGATCCATTCCCGGGAGTGGATGCCAGTGTCCAGCCAGATGCCCGACCGGTTGGATCCCCCGGTGCTGAACTGGATGGGAAGGGGAGATGTCATCTGTGTCCTGCCAGGGCTGGGCAAGGAGAGGATTCCCCCTGAACCCACCTTCAGCACATACAGGGATCTGTTCTCGTAGCTCTGCCCGATCTGGAGCTTGCTGACAAGGTTGGGGTGATCAGCCACCAGCGTGTCCATCCAGTCGTAGATCTGAAAGCAGGAGCTGCTGAGGCTCACCCCGGCTTTCCCTTTGGCTTTTAGGGCACCCAGCACCAAATGCAGCATGCAGAGAAGATTGGTGCTTCCCTGGCGACCAGGTTGCTCCAAGCCCCTGTGTCCAACCTGGCCTTGAACACTGCCAGGGATGGGGCAGCCACAGCTCCTCTGGGCACCCTGTGCCAGCGCCTCAGCACCCTCACAGGGAAGAGCTTCTGCTTTATCTCCAACCTGAACTTCCTCCAAACACAGACGTTGAGCCCCAAAATGAAGTTGAAGATGTCTTCCAGTGAGGTGGGGAGATGCCAGTAGAGGCCACACTGCTCATGGAGGGATGCCCAGCCTCCTGGCTCAGCTAAAACCTCTGTCCAAGGAGGAGTGACATGTCCTAGGGGGCACCTACCACCATGAACATCACCAAATGGATGCAACCATGGGCTGAGCATGACCCCACCGCGGTGAAGTGAATGCTCTAGAAAGCCAAGTACCTCATCCATCGTGTGGTAGGAGGCAAAATCGAACGTGCTGGTGCTTCTCTCTGTCCTCCTTGACTTTGCCATGGCTTTCTTCTCCTCATCCAAGAGTTTCTGTTCAGGAGGAGAAAAACAAGCCCTCCAGCAGGCTGCAGGGAGCACAGGTGGGTTCTTCTCCCATCTCCTCGTGGTTTCCAACTTTTGGGACCTTCCTTTGGGATTAAACTGCAGGAGCTCATCCCACTCCCACTGCAGCCCTCACCTGCAGGTCCTCGATCATGACGCTGTAGGAAATGCCATTGGACTCCAGGAGGGTTTGGACTGCCTGGAGGCTGGGGAAGGGCACCCGCAGGGGGCTGGTGGGGTGACGCCAGAAGTCAACCTGGGGTGAAGGAGAGAGCTCAGCCCCATCCTGTGCTGGTGCTCATCCAACCAGCTCCCCAGCACCAAAAGGGGTCTTTAGGTCTCCTCAACAGATGATCTAAAAAGGTCTTTGGACATGTTTTGGGACACACTCAGGTACCAGAATGGGTCAGGGGCATAGAATCATAGAATCCCAGGTTGGAAGCAACTTCATGGATCATCTGGTCCAGCCTTTCTATACATATATATGCAAAGCATGACCTAGACTGCATGTCCCAGCACCCTGACCAGCCCAGTCTTAATGCTGGGGTCCCTTTGCCTCACTCAATGGATCTGCAGAAACATGTTTCAGCCCAAGTTGCTTGTTGGCTGCAAATACCCCTTTGAATGACACCAGGGTCATCATGGGCTGGTTTTGCTCTTTAATATCTCCTAACATCAGCTTTGCAGCAGAGATTCTGTTCCCCACCAGCCACCTCTCCTGCTGCTCACCCTGTAAAGCAACTGGGGCAAACACAGCAGGAGCAGAGTTGTGGTATGTCACAGAACCCAGCCTGGTTTGGGTTGGAAGGGACCTCAAAGCTCCTCCAGCTCCAACCCCTGCCCCGGGCAGGGACACCTTCCACTAGAGCAGGTTACTCCAAGCCCCTGTGT